GATGCACTGGCAACCAAACAGGCTCAGAATAAGAGAGTTCACATGCTCTGATGACTGATCACACATCTGCTCAGAGTGAGACAGAACTGGTACAAAGTGAGGCAGAAATAAAACCAATATACCTCCAACCTCCCCTCTGTCACTGTCATGTTCTAAACAATGTAAAAGAAGCTGTGGCTGTGAAGTTGTTCTTTGACTCCTCTGACTCAGAGGCAGATCAGCTGTTATGTTGATGGAAGTAGATTTTATTTATTTATCTTCCTAGTAAAACTGGTGTAAAAACTATGCATTTTCATGGACTGGTTTCAATTAGTTCTGGTGTGTGGCTTGGTTTTCTGAGTTGTTTCATAGAAAGCAAGATTCCAGAGCATTCCTAGTGATGACCTTTAAAGGTACTTTAAACATGGTGTCACAAATTCAAAGCACATTGAAAACAATATTGTATGTAATACGTTTTTTGATAATGCAGTGTCAACTTGTGTCCAGCAGAGTGCGCTGCTCCAACACTGAACAGTTTCAAATGTGCTGTCTCCTAACGAATGCAAGTGTGAACTGGATCCTGCAGCTCAGCTCAGTCTCTGGTGTGTTGACTTCACGCTCAGATTGGTTCAGGAACCTTCTCTCCTGTTTGTCCAATAAATTCTGCAGTTGTATTGTTCATTTTTCCCTAAAGGTCTAAGGTAAATTCTTTTTTAAGGCTGATTTGATTTAAGGTTCAAAGAGATGGTTGAATTGGTTGAGGATTCAGTCAATAGATTTGCTGCATTTTAAAGGAATAGTATGTAACGTTTTTGCACAAAAATGAGAAATCTGTAGTTTTCCAAGATAATGGCCTGTTTTATTTGGTCACCAAGACATCATTTAATTCATCCTCTAATATATTTTGTATTTCGCTGCCATGCTAATGCATTTGACCCATCCCTTGTATGGATTACAAGACACTCCTAATTTATTATTATACTGTATTACGTATTTAAAACACGTGGATGGATGGATGGGTTAATAATGGAAAAAAGAAAATCAAAACAAATCTAAAAATGAAAATGATTGTACATGGTGCTGTTACATGCATGTCTTGAAATGAACATGAAAAGCATTTTACCTTTATCCTTCTTGCACGTGTCAGCATTGTGGTGTTCTGCCAGAAGTGATCAAAATTCACTTTATCGCGTTTTAAGCCCAGTTTTTACAGTACATTTTCTTGCAGTGGATTTTAGTCATCAGATGTCTGGATCATAAGTCATCAGAGGAACGAGCTGAACAGACAAATCTGGGCCCCTCTGGACAGGTGATTAGCTAAGTTGATAACATGAAACTGCTTTATTCAGTGTTTCACTGGTCAGTTTGTTTTGCAGAGGAGAGGAGGCCTATCAGAATAAATGCACGCAACCTAAAAACTAGAAAAAAACTTTCTTCTTGTTTGTGATTGTGAGACCTCTGTAGCAGCAGAAAATGACATTGTGTTTTTTCATATCCTCTCACTGGTAACTGACATGTCAGTAGAGTGATGTGGAAACACTGAAATTACCGACCATGTGAAGTTTACTTTCCTCTTCGTTTTTTGACTGATAACTGCCAACTTGCCACGTTTGATCGAATAATATATCGAAAGGACTTCTTCTGATTTTTCTGTCTCATCCATTCCCACCATCTACTGCATCTCAGCTCTCATGACCCGAAGACACAGGAGCAGCGTGCACCAGCTTGATTTAGGAAACAATGAGCTAATATCTCCGCACTGGCAGTAGTTTCACTACTCTCCCATTAAGTCAGGTGATGTGGAAAAGTTTGTGATGCAATCCAGAAAAATACCAAAAACACTCCCTCCCACTCAGAGTTTCCCATAGAAATACTCCAGACAGTTAATGCTGTGTTGTTGCCGTGAATAATATTCAGTCAGCAGATGTTACTCCTGCAGCTGTTGGTGCTTTAATCTCCTCGTGACCTACGAGAAGTAGTCCCCAGGGACCTCAGCACCTACAGAATCTCCCGTCTCATTTTAACACAACACTTGAGATTTGCCCTCAGCACAAAGGCCACAGAGACTTGTTTCACACTGACCCATATTAAGCTGCAGTTCATAGCCTTCTGTCAAGGACTGAAATCCTGTTTCTGTATCACACCACTCTCAAGACTATCACTTTGAAATCTGTGCATGTTAGACTCAATAATAGCTTAAGAGTGTTGTATTCCAGTTTGAGAACAGATTTTATTGACTCCATGTTGATTTTTTGTAATGCTTTCACTGTGCGCCGCTTACACTTAAATAATTGTGCTTAGACTTGCTCTGTGATCAAACTGTGTGCTTACACTCAGACATTTTGTCGCAGATCTCCTGTGCTCCAGCCACTGAACTCAGGTTTGCACCAGTAGGAGTTCTATTAGTTGAGAAAATGTGACAGTATTCAGACATGTTGCTTATAAAGGAAACTGATAACAGATACTTGGAATCAATGGACATTTGTAGTAAAAATGTAAAACTTAGTTAATAAAGATTAGCTAGCATCAGAGACATCTCTCTGCATATTGCTGCCCAACAACACTACACACAACATTTTCAACTGATCATACATCAACAACTCTACAAAGCAATTTAACCAGAAGGGCACTCAGTGGAGTTCATATCTCCCCCAAGGCCCAACAGTCCCCTAATGAAACCACATTTAAAGGTCCAGTGTGTAAGATTTAGGTGAAAGGGATTTTGGCAGACATTTGGCAACTCCAGATTTTTATTTGGATCTGCACCAAATTGCACACTGATAAATATCAGTCCCCTAAATCTGTCTCAGTTTTTGCTCATCATGATCCATGAATTATTCTCTGAGAAATCAAGGACTAAGTTTAAATCTCACATTGTTAAATAAGTTGAGTAGTTTGGCATAATCCTGCTAAATAACACATAAACAGCAACAACTGTTGTATTAGACTACATCAGTTATGGGATTTCTTGATGTTGTAAAGGGTATGACTGGACTGGACTGGTTGCTTTTGCTGCAATTCATACAAGACACAGAATATATTCATTGTTAGTTCAATGCAGCCTAAAGATGTTATTTAATTGAATAGTTTTTCGGTCAATATTTTTTCTGACTTGCTTTGTATTTTTATTCCGCCTGATGGAGCAGCCTAATTAATTTCTTTGAAGTAACAGTAGTGAGTGGTCATTCAAGTGTTGATGTGCTGCACTAAGTATAATTTACTGGTTGCATTTGTTGCTCTATGTCTCAACAATTCTATTTATTTCATTGCATCTTGGAGCACTCATAGATCTCTCCTTCTTACGACACTCTCACTTATCCCATAGTTGTTCACACTTTTCTCATCTGATACTTCCTTTATCTCACAAGTTAGCAATTCTCACTCTCCTGCTCTCTCTTGTGCTTGGTGTTTAATCAATGAACAGAACTGTCTATTAGATTTTGCTGTTTGTGAAACTTCGGCCTGGAAGACTGTGATGTCTATCGGAACTTTTGGATTTTATCTGCCGCCTTACCTTCGACTCACAGCTCTTCTCACTTGCTGGAGCCGCTCCAGGCTGCAAATACATTCCTCTTGTGTCCCTCTGTGTACACAGTAGCCTTCAGTGTTGATAGGCTATTACTCATGATGTGTAATCAATCATAAAGAGCTGTGGTTGGGACATTGCTTGACACCACAGAGTGGTGACTACAGACAGGGAGAGGTGACAGAGTCAGCTCTGTTGTACGTTTTTTAAATTAATTACTTCAATTGGTTGACAAATAAGAAGAAAACAACAATTCTTGTGATTGTAAAAATGCTGAATATCGGCCAGGGCGATAATCTGTGGACTTTTAATTGGACATTTAGCTGCAGAAGACCAACATATATCGGAGAACAGAGCTGAATTGAGGATTATTATCAGATTTACATTTATCAGGTGGACACAAACCAACTAAAAATGTTGGTGTGCGTTGGCCGGACATGCAAATAAGCCTCAACGATTTAAAGGTTCAGTGTGTAGAATCCAGTAGTGAAGCTGAATGTTGCAGCCGAATACCCCTCACCTCCCCCTCCCCCTCCAAACATGACAGAGAACCTGTGGTCACCTTCAGTTGGCATAAAAACTCTTGCTAATGCTAAGGTTTTTAGTTTGTCCAGTTTGGACTACACGTTTCAAAAACATGGCGGCCTCTGTAGAGGGGACCCGCTCACACTTGTGACAAAACAATGGAATTATTTAATATTGAATTTCTGCCAATAGATCCCGTTCAGCTAAATCTTACACAATGGACCTTTAAATGCTCATGTCTATGATGGGCTTCCAGTTTGTGTTTACTGCCTCCAAGTGGTGAAATCGAGTAATGTGGGTTTATAGTTCCTATTTGGAATATTCCTGGTCTTTTCCAGCAACTTTCCTGTAAATCATCCCATATTCAACAGGGCGTAATGGGGAATCATGGGAACCATATAATGAATGAATCAGTTTATATTATTATCCTGATTGTCATGATTAAAATCATTGAGGTAAATGCTGCAGGAAGCATATCATAAATTGCTGTTTGAATCTCGAGAACTTATGAACTCATGGGAACAGTTCATTTGGGAAAACAGTTAAGGGGAAGGTCAAATATAAAATACATCATGTGCATCTGTTAAAGGGAAACATTTATGGAATGGGTGAAGCCCACAAATTCTTTTATTGAAAGCTTAAAAAAGAACTATCTGACGTCAGCGCTGTGCACATCCTCATTTAGAGGCAAAAAAGGCAAAAGCCCTGTGTCTGCAAAGACATTCATGATTTCATTTCACATGACGGTTTCCAGCAGATCCGGTGCGCGTTCACGGGCTCATGCGTCGCAGCTCCTCGTCATGACAACGAGCTATGTGACTGAAATATTCCAAGTTGTGTCCTGCGAGAAAGAGAGAGAGAGAGTGAGAGAGAAAGAGAGAGAGAGAAGAGAGAGACTGTTGAAGCACAAGCGGTGGGATCGCCCTCCTCTTCTTCTCCTCCAGCGCATGTATCAGGCTTCAAAATAATATCCCTGCACCTCACTGACATGTTTATCCCGCTTTTCTTAAACCATGCGGGCTAAACGGAAGATGTTTGACAGACCGAGCCTCTGTTGTCCGCGCACAGCATCAGACACCAAGTGAAACCTTTCAGAGAGAGGCACCACGCAAGCGCGTAAAGGAGACAGATTTGGACACCTGATTTCGGTGGGTGTCTTTCCAGCGCAATTTCACGTTTTAACTCCAACTGTCCGCTGTTGTTGAGTGTGTGTTGTGTTTTTGTGTTGAAGGCCTCTGGCGGTGCAGACATACGGTGGATTATTATCAGCATGGACAAATGGGGGAAAGAGGACAGATCGCTGCGTTGACTCGCGGAGCAGCGCGCACAGTCTTGACGCTATAGCGTTACGCATTTATTTCACTGAGAGTCGTTGTTTTTTCTTTCTTTCCTCCTTCTCTCGCCGCTGCGGCTCAACATCAGAATAAAAAGTCATACATCTGTGGATAAGGAGGAGAGCGGGGTGTTGTCGGAGAGGGATGAGAGGAGGAGGGGGCCACTATGAGGTGTGCTTTTTTTGGGAAAAGCCGGAGAGAGAAGACGGACGCCGAGAAACTGTGCTGATGTGCGAGACCCCGCGACGCGCTGCCCTCCTGAGAAATAACTGCGATCGGGAAAGAAATGGCCTAGTTAGACGCTCCTCATCATCATCACCATCGGCACACCGACAGAGGACGGAGCAGAAGAATCGCATGGACGGGCCATCATCACCATCATCATCCTCGTCATCATCATAATTCCGGTGCTTGCATCGAGACCCTTTAGGTAAGCCATATGTTCCGCAGACGTGAGCAGAGATTTTTTTCCCTCCCGTCTATCACGGGTGTCATGTGTGCGCAATGGTGACTTCGCACATTGCGCACGTTATCCATCTTGACGCACTGTCAGAATTGGGGGGGGATGAGATTTTTTTTGAGTGTCAATTCTCCAAAAAGCACTTTGTTGCCATAGCACGTATTTATTCTTCCTTGCAGCGGGAGCCTTCCATTGGCCTTGCCTGTTGATAAGCTGTCACATCCTAACACGATCAGTCGACTTTGTGCATTCGGCATCAGTATTCTGTCATTCGAGCCATGCTGCCGACGAGATGACATTCGTGTGATTTAATTGGAATCAGTGGGACTGGCTGCTCTTCTCGTCTGAGGCTCCAGTTTTCTGTCTCACTGCTGCTGGTGCTGGTGGAGGTGTAGATTATTTTAATAAAGCCTTTATTACATGCATGTTAATAGCTGCTTAATTAGACACACGCTGCTGTGCTGTAATGTAACTAATCTCAAGCGGTGTGTGTGTGTGCGTGCGTGTGTGTGTGTGCGTGTGTCAGGGCTCAAACTCAGAAGATGTCCTCTCATGAAGAAACCCACAACAGCTCTGAATAACACACACACACACACACACACACACATGCACACACATGCACGCACAACGTCGGTGCCCTAGAAGATGCAGATAGGATTGTGAATTAAATGCACACACTGATGATCCAGGGGAGGCTCCATTAATATTCAGCGGTGGTTGGGCAGTGCTCAGTTAATGGCAGACAACAGGACCTCTGTTCTGACAGGTCATGCATGAGAAATGGTATATTTTCATTTTTAGGGAATAGATGTGTGTGTTTTTTATCCACACGGAGATATATGGTGCCTTTAGCCACAGAGGAGTGACATTTAAAATCCATCAGAAAACCAATAAAGTGTTTTTTGTAGACTTTTTTGGCAGAATTTGTGGAAGAAGTATTACTCTTGTCCGTGTACCGTTGGAATTGCTTTGATTGCTTTTAAAGGCCGGCATCACGTCAGCCTGGTTACTTGCATTTGGACAGTAACACAAACCGAACAGAATATGGCTGAAGACATGGAGGATTTCCATGGGCTTCCAAACATTTGCCTGATTTGCCTGATGCATTTTGAATCCAAATGTTGTCTTTGCATACAAGATAAAAGCCACAGCACGTATAGAAAAGCAAAGAATGGAGACAAAGTGCTGAAATTTAGCAGGAATATAAAGATAATCTCAAATTAAAATGTTTCTTTGGGAGGGTTTAAAAATTGAAAACTCTTATTCCCTCTGTGATAATTTTTAATATTCTATTTCTGGAATTTGTTTGAATATGCTCCATTTTTTGTCTCTGTTGCATTTCTTGCATTCAATAGTGAGTGGGCCTGGAGACTTTGGTGGCAGATTTAATATACAGATGGTCTTATGAATCACCAAATATATCATAACACCCCTAATTTAATCAACCAAACCTGGTCTTACATGAGTTTTGATGTTTAAAACAGTTTATCTAACTAGATAGGAAAATATGCTATGATTGTTGCCATTTGCAGACTTCTGCATCCACAAACTGTCAGTAACACGATACATTTAATTTCACTGTGACCACATTTTGTCCAGAGCGAAAATAGAAAAAGATAAATGTGAAAAAATAGAAAGAGCAGCTGCTTAATGGATTGGATGACGCCGCAAAGTGTAGACCTACAGTCCAGAACAAAAAACTGTTGAGTCTTAATGTTTAATGAAGTATGTTTGGGTAATATGTGAGTGAGGAAGGTGAAGGGGCAGAGAGTGCTGCATGGCTGAGATATTCTCTCACACACGGACATTGAGCTTTCTTAAAGGGGAACAGCGCTGATGTCCAGCTGTTGTGTCATTCTTACAGCTGTTTTTGAGAGTGAGCAACTTTGTCACATATCAGTGCTTATATCCATCACCGAGGCCCAGCGTTTAAAAGTAGAGCCCAGCCGATATGAATTTCTGAAGGCACACATGAGGAAGTCATAAATATTTAAAAATTGGCAGTGATTCCTAAGATGTCATTATCAAACCATTATTACAAAGAGATGCAATTAACGCTTGATATTTGAAAGTTTCATAATTGTACTGTCAGAGGCAAGTTTTTTGTATGGTTAAATTTTTGGTTAAAGGTTTGTTTGAATAGACTGTTTGCTTAGATGAATCAAAATTTACAAATGTTAAAAACAAAATTTGTTTTAGCTCGCTAAACTGCAGGTAGTTGCACACTGTATGAACATAGGCTGCATGCTACAACCATGTAGAAATGAATTTTGAAATTTAGGTGGTAGTTTATGGTTAACAGAGGTGTCATTTGTTCTTTGCTTTAGTTCTATTTCCATCAGAGACGAGACATTACCAGGAATGAAAGGTTTATTTGCTTTTGTTTGGGTTCTGATGGGATTAATGTGTTTTATTGGGTTTAAGAAATACAATTTGCGGAAGAAGTTACATAAGACAATTAAAATATGCAGTGATTTGTGAAAGCAAGCTGCAATTAAATTTTATTTTCCTCCTGCTATGTCTACTACATGTTTTATTTCAGCTTGTTTATTTCAATTTCCATCTTAATTACAATCTGTTGTTTTTTTCTTAAAATCTCATACCAAAAACATTATAATCTGTATCAAGCAGTAATATTAAAAATTCATAAACAGGTGACCTTCCAAAAAAAGACACATTCACCGATTGGAAAGTACAATTGTATTATATTTATACAAAGTACCTTTGAGGAAGTGAAGAGAGGTTTTCTGTTCTTCTTTCTGTTCTACAGTGAACACATTTAATTTCATCACTGTTAGAAATGTTCCAACTGAAGTCCTTCAATATGATACAGACAAAATCTCAGTGGCTACTCCATGACCAAAGCATTGGACGCCATAGACTTTAAAGAGCTCTAAATAGATTTATAAAGTATGGCAATGCACCATGTGGCACTCAGAGCAGAGGTATCTGACCATCATTAAAAAACAAAAAACACAAGGTGGCCTCTGGGGTTTCCCTGTCAATCCGTTTTTTTTATGTCACAACACTGTGAATTGTGGGTCGGTCCCGAGGGGAGTCTGTAGACTGTGCACTTACAGAAAGTGTGTGTCAAGGGTCCAGAAGGTCCAGAAGGTCCTTGTGTACTTACCAATTTTGCAGTTTGAGACTGGCCTGAGTCCTCAGAGATGTATCAAGAACATAGAGGTTTGATATTAGGATGGATGTTACCTACCGTGTCACTGCTGCAAGGCACCTATTACCATGGGAAGCTGCACATTAATGGCACAAAAACAGAGGCATAAACATCGGAAATACATTTTTGCTTTAGATTTTGGTAAACGTCCATGTTTTGTTTTTTAGAATTAGCACAGCTAGCGTGTTTGGAATGGCTGTTTAATTGGTCTGTGGTGATGCTGGATGCAGCTTTCTTCCTGAAACAGTAAAAGTGACCTGCAGTAGTTGAGCCGTGGCAAGTAAAGAGATGCTGCAGAACTCAGTCCACAGAACCATGAAGTTGCTGCACAAAGAGCTCCTCACCTGTTTATTCAAAGTTCGGTGAAGCTCAGTACATAGAACCTGAACTGGAGAACTGGTTGTCATCGTAATTGTTGTAAATGGACTCATTGCTGTGAACGCGTTCGTTGTGATAGGCAATGTCACTTCATTGATGATTTCCATCCACCGCTGTGACGGAGCATTGGTCGCCTGTTTACTCAAAGATTATTAATGTCAAACCTAACGTGTCAGTGTGAAGCTGACAGGATAAATAGTTCTAGAGATATGGCACATACAGAACGACTGGAGAATATCCATCCCATAGATCTAGTCCTCACATGAGGTTTCTCAGCAAGCTCGGGCATCTTTACCTGAAACATTCACTGTATGCTCATTAGTGGTGTAGCTGCTATAATGGAAGGTTGGAGATGTTGATTTCTGTGTGAAGATGTCAAGTCAGAGAAAAGGGAGGTTAAAATGACCCAGCTCTTAGTCACGTCACAACTAAGGAGGAGAAAAGCAGGAGAATAGCTCGACCTGACCTATTATCTGCGAGCAAAGTAAAGCTGGAGAAACGCCTGTGCAAATGCCATGGTAACCATCTTGTGTAACCTCCTTTGAACAATATCACATAACAGTCATCCAGGAGATAAGCCAGGGTGAGTGCCGTCCCCGTCTCCTTCAGTCTGGGGAGGAATATCACACCAAACCCCATTAAAATATCTGGAAATATAATGTATCTTTTTTTAGCAGCGGAGGTGTGAGCCCATTAAAACAGCACACGTGACCTCTCGTGAATTGCAAAGTTCAATTCATCAGATATGATCCATTAAGCAGCTGTAACAGTCCATTTTCTGATATTTGTTTGCGGTGTCAAACATGGCATCTTAAAAACAAATAGAATTGTTTCCTTCGAGCGGTGTTTGTGTATCATTGACGAGGATGATCATAATTCACCTGGCTGCTGACACGGTGCAGGCATTAGGCAGCTGGCGCTCTTTATAAAGGTGCGGGCAGCGTTGACATGAGTTACACACGGCCAGTCGTGGCCTACTTGATATACTGTTTTGGAATGGCAGCCCCATTTGCTATGAGTTAAACGCCTTAGTTTCTGCATTTTCAGATGGGAATATGATAGCCAGTTAATGTAGTTGGCTAATGCTCGTTTCATTGCCTTGAGATAAAGTGAGTAAATTTTGAGATATGGTGCTCTCGGAAATGTTAATACCCACGTCCCCCCTCCACCCACTCTGTCCCTCCAGTGCAGAAGTAAACTGTCGCTTTAAGTGGAAAGAACATTGGAGTCTGGCTCGGCAGTGCACTCAATGCTTTGCATTGTTCAAAAGACATACTTAGGGGCCAGAACGCACAGACATTTTAACACAAAGCTGTGAAGTGTTTTTTTCACTAAATATGACGGACATTTTGTCTTTAATGAACACTGAATAAAAATCTCTGTAAAGGTGCAAAGACATGCCACTGAGGATTATATA